GGGACACGGGTTGGTGAGGAAATACTGACAGACAGATCTTCAGTGGGTTGGGGTTGAAGTTAAACCTACAAGGCAAAGCAAGTCAAACGTCATGAACCAAAAAGGTCCAGTGAGATACAAGCACACACGATAGAATATTACTAGCGCTGCTGAAAAGCGTTACAATTCGTCGTGCGTATGGAAAATGAGGCGTAAACTGAAAGGCTAGGCAGCACTGGACAACCTTCCCGACCTGTTTGGGTCTGATCCATCAACATGCGATAAACATAAAGGTTTGAATATTTCTAACTGAGTCATAACCCCGAAGGCTAGTACTGAGATAAACGAGGCGCGACGCACGCAACAAGCTTGCAAAGATGCGTTGTGCTATATCGTGTAAATGTAAAATGAAAAACGGTCTGATCAGCTACCCGGTACCCAAGTGAATAACATACTTGCGTTCTGCCTGTGAGGTCCCGGGTTCGATCCTCAGTTAGGTCGATGGATTCGCAATGCACGAGTGAGATCCAACCAGGTCGAAACAGCTGTCCAGTGCTTCCTAGCTTTCCAGCTCACGCCTCATTTGGTAACTACACCATGTATTTCCCCTGTGAAATTGAATCGAATCCTCCATTTCTCACAGAACTGATTGATTAATTGGTCAATTAATTGATTGATTGACTGATTGATTGATTGATTGATTGATTGATTGATTGATTGATTGATTGATTGATTGATCGATTGATTGATTGATTGGCCGATACTTCCTGCTACCACACACCTACGCACTCACGTCATGCGGTCCAACTCTATCGATCGGCTCTAGCCAATCAGATGTTGAAATGGCCACGTTGATTGATTCTTTTACCGTTTGACTGTCTGCATCACGGTATTCGGACGTCATGTAACGCTCGAACCAGTTTTCAACCTATCTGCCTGCCTGCCCACATGTTTGCGCACCTGCTTGCTCACCAGCCTACAGATCGGCTACATAGGCACCTAGTACAAATAGACCTACTACCTAGTGCACCGCGTGATAATTTACTTACCCCGACGAGACTCGGCAGGAGGGGAGAAAAAGGAGGGTCGGGGGACGCGTTTTTTATTGCAGAGGGAAAAAGTCACACAGTTACGAGAACTTGCTGTTCAGTGACGGAAACCGGTAATTCAAGCACCGTGACTTGGAGTGGCAAACCACATTTGGCCCCGCTAGTTTAGGCGTGGTATTAAATCGGACAGCAGTAAAGCTGCCCACTATAAAAGCTTAAGCCTTGGCCTTAGCTTTATGGATGCTCGTTAAACAACTCTTTTGAAGTTATCTATAAAATAGATGAGTGAAAGGATTTGAGGGGACATGCAAAAGTCAGAAAGCCTTCCTTGTCACATCGATTGCGCGGGAACAAACATTCGAAAATCTTTGGAGAATTGAGGAATAAACATGCATGTGTCTTGAAGAACAATTTCCATCGCATTGATGGTGAAGGCGAAAATGCCTAATCGGAATTTGGAATTTGCAATTTGATAAATTATCGGGGGAATTTCTCGTAGAGAAAATGAAGCGTGAACTGAAAAACTAGGAAACACTCTGTACGGTTGTTTCGACCTGGTGGCCCGGTGGTCGGATGGATAGCATGCTTGCGTTCTGAGTTTCGGGGTTCAATACCCAGTTGGGTCAATGGATTCGCACTGCCGATGAAAACCGACCAGGGCGAAACAGCTGTCCAGTGCTTCCTAGCTTTTCAGTTCACGCTTCATCTACTAAATACATGACGAATTACTCCCCCATGAAAATGAATCGCAGCCTCCGTTCCTCTCAATTTGATATCTCGTCCCCTCAGTGTTGAGCATTTTGCACCCAGAACAATAAGGGCTTGATTAAGGCTCTATGAACTTCAGTTCACTACGCACAATTATTTTATCTTTCCTTTAGAAAAGCAAACAGTGGCTAGACGGATTGAGTGGCGGAATGGATTCCGTAACTGAAGCACACACACACACACTCACTCGCGCACACACACACACACACACACACACACAGACGGGTGTGTGGGGAAAATCTTCTTATCGTCCAAACCCAAAATATCACAGCTCAAAATCGTAGACAACTTTATGGATGGAGTGAATCGACGCAACCACTGCTATTCAGAGTCAGTCCCGTTTTCACGTAAGGAAACCAAGTGATTTGTGTGAACATCATGTGACTAAATGGAGCGAGCCGATTGCT